CAATCGAAGCCCTAACCCACTTCCTACGAAATAACCCCGAGAATACCTCCCATTCTAAAAACCCACAACGACAGTCATCTTCAACCTCCCATACACCTCAAACAACCAGAAATCGGTACAAATACTCGCCGGAAACTAAAACCCCTAAAAATTTAAGATGAAATCGATGGAAAAAAACGAAATCGAAAAGGAAAACAAGAAATAAACAAAATGAAATYGAACCTTCAATGTCCACGCTATTCTTAAAACGAAATGGAACGTCTAATCGAAGCTTTCTGTGTTGAAGGAAACGGAGGGAAACGAAAAGGATAAGAAGAAGAAGACGAAGGAAAACGAACGGGAAAAGAAAGAGGGGGAAAGGCCAACGGTTGGTTTTTTTGACTTCAGGGGTACAAATGTAATTTTATTCTTTTTTAAATTAATTCAAATAATAAAGTAGGTCATTGAAAACAATTTTAGAGGGCAGGGTTATTTGAGCGAAATAGAAACCTGGGAGGGCTATATGAGTCATTTTCCTAATGGAATGATTGGAGATCAATAACCATCAAAATTGTAAACGGAAGAAATTCGAGTTTTTTTTTTTTGAATGAAAAGAAATTCGAGTTGAGGAATGCATAAGGAAATAGAAGCGGCCAGTTGCAAATATTAGTAAAATAAGTTAGATAGCTAACTATATATTTTTTTTCAAATATAATATTTTTTTCAAGGAGATCCAATTTTAAAATTACAATTTTATCCTGCAATTATATCTTATACGTATTTGTAATATATCTACAATATATCTGAACAGTGATATATGTCTGATATATCACTGATATATTAACGATATACAATTGATTTACTCCTGATATAACTATGATATCTACTGGACTTCTAACATGGATTACCACTGATATACGTATGATAACCATTGATTTATCACGCCGATACAACATTATATATATCTATGATATATATTTGATAGGTCTCTAATTTACCATTGACATACAAATGATATACCATTGATATAACTATGATATCTACTGATATAACTTCTTATATATAATTATATGATTTACCACTAATATAACATTGATTTATATTTGATATATACTTAATATGTTTCTAATTTACCAGTGAATCATGATATCTACCAATATAACTATGATACATGTGTGTTGATATAATACTATTATATCAACTATTTTTTCATATAAAAACGATGATGTTATATGTATGTATGTATGCATGTATGTATGTATTAAAGGTATAATACATACACAAAATAATGTATATCATGGGTACGTTTGATAATGTATATCTAATAATGTATATCATGGATATGTCTGATAATTATATCAGGAGTACATCAGATGTATATCAGAAATACATCAGAAGTACATCAGATATAGATTGAATATCTATCAGATATAGATATATATTTGATATATATCAGATACAGATATACATTGGATGTATATCAGATATCGTAAGGTTAAAATCGGAATAATAAAAATTCAAAATATAAATATTTAAATATTTTGCTATATTTGAAATTTTGAAAAATTGGTGACATTTTTTGAAATACATCAATTATTTTTGCTATGGACCACAATTACCCAAATATAAAGGGGTTTTGATTCAGAGGTTCTTTTACATTTTTTTTCTTTTTCTTTTTCTTTTTCTTATTTACATATTAATTTTTCCCCAATTCCAAATATTAGGACATATATATCATCTCGTGTATTCGAATCCACTAAAAAAAATAATAATAAACAAATAAAAAATCTATTTGTGATTTAGCTGAAAATATATATATATATTGGACTAAGCCATGTCGATGCGTTTTATAATATATATTATATTTGATGCAGACGATAACATATTTTTTTAAAATGGTTTTCAAACGAAAACTTTATGTAAAATCTGTAAATTTTTTTTTTATCAAATTTAGGTAAAGATCGCATACTTTTTAAGTTTAAGGTATTGTAAATTTAGGATAAATCTTGATATATGTTAGCAAGTCCATGGTTAAAATGGATGTGTGTTAAAATTTTATAAATAGATACTGATAATTAAATAAATAAATAAATAAAAGAAAAAACACGTCAATCACTTTGGGACGATTTTTATTGTTTTTAGTTTTTGGTTTTCTGTTTTCATATATGTTTGACAACCATTTTTTCTTTATTGTTTTTAAAAAACATAAAACAAAAACATGTTTGTCAACTATTTTTTGTTTTTTGTTTTTAAAAAGTAAGAAAATTTTATGTAAAGTAGGGATGTCAATGATGTGGGTGCGAGTAAGGATGTCCTCTCCCATTCTCGTGCTCGTGAAAATTTTTAGTCTCCGTCTCCACTTCGTTCTTGGGTCCGAGAGATGTTCTCGAGGATAATTATCGGTTTTATAATTGTTTTAAATTATTTTTAGAATTTAAGTATAAAAAAGTGTAATAAATATATATTAATTATTTAAAAAATGAAATTAGGGACGGGGACGGGGTCGGGACATGTATTTCCTATTTTTGAGACCCGACCCTACGGAAATTTTTGTCATCCCCTAATGTAGAGACATGAAAATAGACGTTAAACTTTTGGAGTATAAATTTTAGAGAGATAAATAAAAATATTTAGGAAAAAAATAGTGAAAGAAAAGTTAAAGACAAAAAGAGAAAAATTTTACAGAAAAAAATTAAAGTTGAAAGGAAAATATATGTTAAAGAAAAAAAAGAAATTATAAAGAAAAAAATTAGAGTGGAAACAAATTTAGAGATAAAAACAAAATCAAAAATATAATTTTTAGAGAAAATAAATAAATACATAAATAAAAGTTAATTAAACGAGAAAATAAAGTATAATTTTCACAGGAAAAAATAGATTACGAAGAAAAAGAAAAGTTATAAAAGATGAAGTTTTAGAGAAAAAAAAGTTAAGAAAAATATTAAATTTTGAGAGAAAGAAATGAAACTGATAAAAAGATTAAAAAAAATAAAAATACAGAAAACGGAAGGAAATAAATAATAATAAATATTTAAAATATGAAAATTTTAGAGAAAGAAAAATAAAGTTTGTAGAGAGAAATTTAGAAATAAAAAAATTTTATAAGAAATAAAATTTTTAGAGATAAATATGAGGAAGAAAAATAGGTGAATGCCTCTTTTTCCCCGGAAGTTGTCGGAATTATTCGTAATAAGATATTGGCTACAATTGAAAAGGTCTTATCAATAAAATTTCCATTTATCCCAGATCTAGGCATCGGTAACAACCCCATTCTATAATTTCTTTTAATTACCTCTCGTGAGAAAATGATCCCACAAACAAAGGAATTGCATAGTACGAAATAACATAAAAACGGATTCATTAAAAAATCCTACTAGATACTAAAATTGTTTCTTTTTGATTTGACAGGAATCAATAAAAAATAAGAAATATTTCAATCCAGTTTAATTTCATCCAAATGTAGTAGGATCGGAATGAAGAGAACTATTTGGAATATTTTTTGGGGTGTGCAAACCAAATAGAATGATGCCTTTGGGTTGCACCAAGTCTAAAACCGAGTGGATTTATTTTTTGTCCCATAACCCCCATTATTATACATGTCATAATACGTAATATCTGTGTACTTTTCTTTAGTTATACATCCAGGTTTGTTTAAGCCTAATATGTTGTATTGGTATCTTTTAAACTCTTCTTCATTGAAAGATATATTTTTCAATACAATAGTTATAGAACAAGTCGTTCGTTTTATGGGATAACTTCGGTATCTGTCTTAATTCTTTCCTTTATTCAAGTAGTTTTTTCTTCGCCAAATTGCCTGAGGCYTACGCTTTTTTGAATCCAATAGTAGATGTTATGCCAGTAATACCTCTATTCTTTTTTCTATTAGCTTTTGTTTGGCAAGCTGCCGTAAGCTTTCGATGATATTTTTAATACTGTATGAGACAAATTCATGATTTACTAGAAAAAAAAAGATTATAACTAGTTATAAGATCAGATAAGTCGTACATACAGTCTGAACCTTTGAGTTGAGTCCAATATTTAAATTCTTCTATAGGTGTGATAAATCTGGATCACTCTCATTTTCTTATTCTTACTTTTTTCCATCGAACGACCCTGTTAAAGTCCCCCACAATATATAATTGTGGGTATGAAATCCAATTTTTAGTAATGAACGACTCAACTCTTAATTTCTGAAAATTTTTTCYTATTTATAGAAAAAACTTCACTGCATTTCTTGGTGTCAAAATAGTTTAAAATGGATAATCTATTCTCTTTTTTTTTTTTTTAATGATCTTGGAGATTGTGTACTCTCAAACTCAGATTTTGAAAAACAAAAACCTCAAAAAAATTTGGTTAATAAACAATCTTATTTTTAAAAATTAAAATTAAAAAACCAAAAACAACGAAATGGTTAAAATGAACCATTTATTATTCTTTCGGATTCTCTCTTGATTTCCGAGTAGATCCATGGATTACAGAATCCAAAGTATAAGAGGTTTTGGTATTCCACTTAGGCCTCATTTACCTACCCGTAATCTTAATGAGAATGAATCAAAATCAATCGAAATGGAAATGTTATTTGACGTTGTTTACCATAAATTTTATAGAATCAGAATCGAAATTCTTTTCATATTGTTTACTAAAACTGTCTGGAATCGGAATCGAAATCTATAACAATTATTAGTATACCATTTTCTCATTTTTAACTAATTACAGATAGGGTGTGATAATATCTTTTAATTACAATATTAATAAAATTTAATTTAATTTATTATATTATTGATAGTAAATATTTTTTTGTTATAACAATTTATTTAACATTAAATAATATAATGGTCGACGCGAGTACAACCACCATAATTGACTTATAAATATTGTGGGTAAAAATGATAAATTAATTATAATAAATATGTAGTACCTAGCAAATAAGGAACTAAAATGAGATTGGTGGAATCGCATAGGTGTAATTGGACTTAAATTATGTGAAATTGTATAATATATATCGTTTTCTTCTAGTTCTTAGATACATGGATTGAATTTTGTGGATGCATACTTCCATTGTGCTGTCAATATCATCTTCAGATTACTTTGAAATTTGAGTAGCAATTGAATTTGAAGAAGTAAAACAAGCTTCGAAGATCTTGGTTGACTGCTACTATGGCGGCAGATTTACAATGTGTTCCAAATTGCATGTTACGTTTACATGGGGCTTATTTTTGCGCGTTGGATTACGTCGGTTCTTGATCGGCGTTGAAGAAATAAGACAACAGGAATTCACTTCTTAGGTCTCGAATTTTGCACACATGTCGATCATTTAGGGTCAGTGATAGCTGGAGCTTGAAGAAGCGAAATCGCGTTTCGATTCTGGTACGTAGAAGCTGTTTAGTTTTTTTTTCCTACAAAAGCCCTATTGAATTCGATTCACTGACAAGTTGTTTAAATTCCGATTCTGCAAGTTCGATAGAAATGGTTGGTGCAATCGATGGAAGTAGTCATACAAATGGCTCGATTCAGAACTCAAATGGTTCCATGGAGGAGAAGCTTGACGATCTTCGGCGTGTATTTGGAAAAGCCGATGGGGATCCGCTGAGGATCGTCGGGGTTGGAGCTGGTGCTTGGGGTAGCGTCTTCATCGCCATGCTACAAGAGAGTTACGTTCACTTGAGAGACAAAGTTATGATAAGGATTTGGAGAAGACATGGACGAACAGTGGATAAAGCAACTGCAGAGCATCTATTCGAAGTGATAAATTCAAGGGAAGATGTGCTGAGAAGATTGATCAGGCGATGTGCGTATTTGAAATACGTGGAGGCCAGATTAGGCGACAGGACACTGTATGCGGATGAGATATTGAAAGATGGATTCTGCTTGAATATGATTGATACGCCTCTCTGCCCTTTGAAGGTCGTCAACAACTTGCAGGAGGCTGTGTGGGATGCTGACATTGTTGTGAATGGCTTGCCGTCAACTGACACCCGCCAAGTGTTTGAGGAAATGGGAAGGTATTGGAAAGAGAGATTAACGATGCCTGTCATCATTTCTTTGTCAAAGGGTGTGGAGGCTGAATTGGAGCCTCAACCACGGATAATAACTCCTACTCAGATGATTAACAGCGCAAGTAAGCTTGCTTCCTCTTCTTTTGCCCCTTTATATCATTTGTGTTTCTTGAAAATATGGTGAAAGAATTATATTTAAAGTAATGATTTGGACTTTCGAGGTCAATAATTTAATATGGTATCGGAGGAGTTCAAATTCTTGAAATGTTATTTTCTCTTCGTGTTGTACTAATAGTCCACTTGTTGGATGTGTGTGGCTGCCTGAGGCCCTCACGGATTGGTGGTTCAGCGACAAAGCCATGGAGCCTTTAGCATATTTGGTTAGAGAATATATTGTGAAGATTTTGTACTAACTTATTGGTTTAAAGGCGTTTAGGTTCGGTGGTGATTTATCTAATCACCAAATTTGTTGAAGGAAAGGGTTTTATTAACCTATTTAAAAGTTGTAATATGCTCTCAAGTTGATTGAGTTTTTGCTCCGGTGGAATAGGAATTATGAGAAAGATGAAAAAATCCAGGAAGTAAACTCATTGCCTGGAACACGTTTCTTGTATCTTTTGACCGTTGCTTGAATAAAATAAAATGGGTTTTCTTTTCTTGTATCTTTTGACCATTGTTTGACTAAAAGAAAGTAAACTTCCAAGGGCTTATTTCCTGTTTATTGAGTCATATGAAACTCCCTAAAACAGAATTGTTTCTTTTAAGTTTTTCTTTTTCACTTCGGTTATGTGGGTAAGTGAGAATATATCGTACCGCCCCTTAATCTGTGTCCCTATTGTGCTATTAAATTCTTTAAGAATCTTAATAAGTATCAGAATTCTAAGACTCATATTACTGATTTGCAGCTGGAGTTCCTTCAGATAACATTCTTTATCTTGGGGGACCAAATATTGCCTCGGAGATTTACAACAGAGAATACGCCAATGCTCGAATTTGTGGAGCTGAAAAGTGGAGGAAATCCCTAGCAAAATTTTTGAGGCAACCCCATTTCATTGTGTGGGACAATGGCGACCTTGTTACCCATGAAGTAATGGGTGGATTAAAGAATGTCTATGCCATTGGAGCCGGTAACATAAATTTCCTATTGGGTTATTTAATGTCTTAAACAATTTGATATAACATATTTATATGGTTTTAGTCTTTTCATTCTTCTTGTCTTTGCTGCAATTTTTGTAATGTTTGAACTAGTTCTTGGCAATCTTTAGCTTCAATTTGTTCTAGATCTGGAGTAACAATTTAGGAGGCGAACATTTTTGCATCGTATTTATTGAGATCACTGTAAAAGTTGTGTGAATGATTAATGAAGTGTCAATTTGGTTTCTTTTTTTTAATTTACTTTTAACATGGATTGATGGTTTTTGTGAGAGTAAAATTGACAGAACAATCAAGATGTGTGTATTCATGAACATAAGATTTTGTGGATCACGTAAAAAAAATTCTTCACATTTTAGTGGAATTTCATGTTCTTTGAATGTGCATTAGATTTCAAGTATCCAAACTTTTCTCCTACCTTTTTCCTGGTCTTTGTTACTGTGATAGGCATTCCATTAACTTTTATTCTTATGCTGCGTGAATGAAAAAGAAATTATCACAGGACGGATCGATCTTCATCGTCCCTGTGGCTTAACTCAGTAAATGTTCATTTCTTCCACAGGAATGGTGGCAGCTTTAACAAAAGAGAGTGCCACCAGCAAAGCAGTATACTTTGCACACTGTACATCCGAGATGATATTTATTACTCATCTATTGGCTGAAGAACCAGAGAAACTGGCAGGACCGTTACTGGCTGACACTTATGTAACTCTATTGAAAGGTCGTAACGCGTGGTATGGGCAAAAATTAGCTGAAGGAGAACTGAGCCTCGAAATGGGTGATAGCATCAAAGGCAAGGGCATGATACAGGTACGTTCTTTATTGGCAAGATAGAAGTAGGGATGCTTTTTTCGGAACAATTCGCTTAAAAGTTAGAATAGTAACAAAAATACTTTCCTAGAAGCTAGAAAGAAAACGTTATTGATAATCTTTATTACATTCTTTCAAGTATCCTTATTCCCTCCTGAACCAAATAACCATAGGGACCCAGCCCACAGCAACCATTGGCCCACAATAGTCTCTTTTGCCTGTGGAACCATGGTTGAAAAGAGCTTGACATAGAAAGTTGTAAGCTGTCTTGGGGTTGCACCAGTTCAAAGTTTAAAAGCTGGAACATATTCCTCTAAACTGTTCTCGTAGTTCACGATACAAAAAACGCTTTTCTTATGCTTGTTACTCTTGTTGAATATTCTACACCAATCTGCTGGTAATTAGGGCAGCTTCTTTGACTTACTCATCATGTATGCATGTGTGTCGTGTCAACTCTAGATTTGGGTGTTTGTGCTTTAGGATGAGTTAATGAATCTTCAAGTTGAGTCCAAATTAATTTTGAAAGAATCACTTACCAACCCATCCTCCTAGATTGAACCAAAACCGACCCCAAACAGCCCCACCCATCTACCTACCCATCCCATCCCATTCGGACAGGGAGGGGATTTCAGGTTTTTGTTTCTTTTTTTCCTTATCAGTTTTGTTGACGCCCGAGATATACGTTGAGTGAATTTGACAGAATGAGATCACTCTGGCAGGGGGTTTCTGCTGTGAAAGCATTTTATGAACTGCTGAGTCAGTCCAGCTTGAGTGTTCTACACCCTGAAGATAACAAGCCTGTCGCTCCAGTTAAGCTTTGCCCAATTCTGAAGATGCTCTACAGTATACTAATAACAAGGTATGGAGAGATTCAGTTCAATTGCTTTTGTTCTCTCTCAATTTTGTTGCTGCTGTAAAAATGGCATGGAAGAAAGCCTAGTGAACCTGATCATTACTTCCATTGTTTGAATATTTTTAGGGAGTTTTCATCACAGGCCATTCTTCAAGCCTTGAGGGATGATACGATAACCGATCCTCGAGACCGCATCAAGATTGCACAAAGTCATGTTTTCTATAAGCCATCGCTCCTCGGACAGCAGCATTAACAAACCACTTCTTCTTGTATGTAGTCTTCTCCATCATGTTCATTCGAAATGTAGAACTCAAGGAAAATCAGTTTTGTAGGAACTAGGATACCTCCCTTTTTCCCCTGTTTTGTATAAGGCTACATAATTTGGACAGTGATTTTGCGTCAGTTTAGAAGTCTTTTTT